ACCCTTTGTCGCAAGAAGGATTTAAAGATGCCGAGATGGATGGGGATGCTGAGTTTGAGTCGGGTGTGACCAACCAGTCTTCGGATGGACCAAGCGAAAACATATTCGACGGCTACAGCTCAGACAGTTCTTGATCCGAAGTGGTAATGCATTATCCAAGTAAATCGGAAGAGATGGACTTTGTTGAAATACGCGGTAGGCCACCAACACTACGGTCTAGGCCCAGAACCGTGTTGCCAACAAGAAGAAGTTGAACCGGAAGAGGATTCCGAAAGGGATCCGGAAGAAGTCCATGTTTCCAATGATCAAATGTTGGAACCGGAAGTTATCGTTATTCCGGATTCACCAGATCCTCCAGTTGTCCAACTGCTTTATGAAGTTGTTGTGATCTCGTCAGATAGCGAAGAGGAAGAAAGTCCCATACGAACGCCCTTTGTTTCCCAAGTGTTCCAGTCCCATACGTCAACTCCGGAGCAAGTAGTACCGGAGATTACCTTACCACCAAGTGTGGATCCTTACTCACACAGCACCGAGTATTGGGAAAGATACATGAAAAGGCTTCGACAGTCAGAGTCCTACCAGGATTGGCATAATAGGGACGCTCCGCAGGTTATTCAAGATTTTCCACCAGTTCCAACATACACACATGTTGGGAATCCCATGGAAATCAGAAATGAGTCTTACGGAATATCAGAAGCAGTACAAGACTCGAGAGCACCAGGACCTAGTAGAGGATACGAGATCTGATATTCTTCACCCACAACAACGTGGTGCCGACTGTGTGGATTAAATGGACATGTGTCCTACTTCGCCCAACCCAGAACTGGAAAGACAAAGTGGTTAGTGTGATTTGTACTCACTGTGGAAAAGAAGGACCCAAGGAAACGAGTGTCCCATCATCCATCCAGAGATCACGTTTATCCCGACCATGACTCAGACCATGACTCACCCTCATCCAGCGGCCCAGCTTCATCCGAAACCTTAGGGGGTAAGCTATGTTCCAGATGTAGGTACCCTAAGACCCCACCGTGCCAGGTATGATGGGTGCTAACCCTTATCTTTTTGTGAATGATAAGATAAGATAATCGGATATAACTTGGTAATCTAATTTTAGGGCTGGTTCCAAGATCAGGTAATGCTTAGTGGCTTGTTGTATCAAATCGGTTAGAAACTTGACTTGAACTTATGTAATATTTTGGATGAATAATGTTAAGTATTTTGCGTGGTTGGATGCTTAATACTTATGAATGTTTAAGGCATTTTACATTGTGTGAGCTTGGTACTTATGCATGATCTATCCAAAATAGTGCTACCAGTACGCTGCTTTGTTCCGTCCTTTGATGAGAATTCATCAAGCTAGGGTCTCGCAAAACCTAAAGATTAGCATAAGTCGGATTGTCTAAGTCTTTYCTAGGATCATTTGGAGTCTAGATTCCGCAAGTTTAAAAAAAATTGGAGTGTAGACCCGAATAGTCTAAGAGATTGGAACTTTGTCTAGAACATAAGGGAAACCTATAACCCAAAAACTTGAAACCGTTCAAGGGAAAAMACCAAGAGAAAACGGTCGGATATAGTAAGGAAAAACGAAAAAAAAACGAAGGATTGGTTAAACAGATTCATGGAAGGAAGGAGACGTATTCAAGGAAGTCTAATGTAAGGAAAGGAACTTGCATTACACTTAAAAG